TACAAAACAAAACCCATGTTAAATACAAGTTAAATATTAGTTTTATTTTTTTATCTAGATCACGATGCTTCGTTCAAGGATACTTTGAAAGAATTACGAGTTCTCCAGTGCAACGGTCACCTGATTCCCCCGTGGTTCAATTGCTATTTGCTACCTACATAAAATAATTAATCAAATATTCAATGGAATATTGATTCAGCCTGGGGATTATTTATCGTAAGATACGCCGCGATAAACGGCTGGATCTTGATGTAATTTATGTGGGTTATTCTGGAAACGTCGCGTGAACCTGCCCTTCATGATTAAATTTGTTACACTCAATCTAACCATCGTATTATCCTCTGTTCTACATTTGCCGTTGTAACAATAATCGTTCGTCGTTTTTTAAAGTCGTAATTACGGGCTTTCAAATTAATTATTGTGATGTAGAATGATTCGTAATGAAGCACTGATAGTGTAACAAATCGAATAATAATTGAATATATTGCTCCACCTATACACGAGTCATAGATAAAATGTGATAACAGAAAACGAAGAAAATATAAGGATGACTCTTTCATTCATATCGGCCAAATCAACTGATTATTTTGTTAGTTTACCGTACGAATTATTGCGAGTAAGCTGCCATTTATATTAAGGTCATTTAGATTAAAGAATTATTTTTACGACGATCCTATTCACAAATCAATCAAGAAATATTGCAAAAATTATGTATGAGAAAATTGTGCCTAAAACCAGAAATGTCATAATTTTTATGTACGCAAGTAAACTCGTGAGTAGTCACTCATAAGTCTATGTCACTTATCATGAATTATGTTATATATGTGTTCATATTTTTATATATTACTCAGTAGTATACTGTTTATAAATATTAGTAACTCCTAAGTCTGTGTTACATATATTATATATATATGTGTCTTTATGTCTATACATTTGGTCAGTATCACACTATGTATATTTATATTAGTCACTCATAAGCTTGCCTCCTATAATATGTATAAACAAATTTAGGGTCTAGGATGAGCTCGTCGGAAGTTTTGTTGCAGTTTTCAAACTCCTATTAAATTTTTCGATTTTAGAAATGGAAGAAATCTTTCGGAAATTAATGGAAGGCCCGTATTAAGGCCTTGTTGGTCATAGAATTTTATTGGATTTAAAATATCTGCGGTAGTAATATAGATGACACGAATGTTGATTTGGATGAACGCAATGTTGAGTGCGAGCTCACAACACATTTATGTTATCATTGAAGAAATGATCAGCGAGGTGAGACGAGATGTGTTATGACTCGCGGCTTATTTAACAAGTTTGAAATAAGGCCTCTAAGAAAACTTTTGAAATAAGAAAACGTAAAAGTTGTAGGCTTTGAGTGTACTCTTCTCCGAAACGGTTTCTTGTGTAAGAAATGGTAAATTTTATGCTATTTTCTTAGCTTTTAATTTCATGAAAAACGAATTTACGTAGCCATTCAATCAATGATTTCGGCAGGCGTGTATGCAGGTCACTTAAATTCGGAGAATATATTCATACAATTGTTACTAAGTAAATCTAAGCAACCACTTTCAGAACGTAAAAATGTGAATGAAATGGCTTGATTGCTGGAAGAATTTTCGTTACTTCCTGATCATATTGAAAACTAAACGAGTATTTAAGAAAACTAAAAAAAATAAAATTCGCGAGACTTTTAGAACACTGTAAAACTTTTCACAATATCAACAGAAGCCTCGTTTACATCAACGATGAGTATTAGGTACTCAGAAGCGTAAATCTGAGGCTAAAAAAAATAAATGGCGCTGATGGTTGTAAAGCTAACCCCTGAAAACTCTGCAAATCAAAACTGCCTAAATTTTACTACCACTCCTTCCCGACGATTTTTTATCATTCCCGAAAGCCTGAAATCCTTCTATTTCAGTGCTATGTCAGCAGTTGATCGGATGCGCTATATGATTTTAACAATTTTTTTAGATCATCACAATATAAAGACATGACCTCTGTACAATATCAACCATAAAAATTAAAATTCATCATTAGATTCTTACATAAGAGTTTTTAATCAAAATATATTCGTTTAAGAATCTAAATTTCCTATAATATTTTTTCCCATCTGACAACAGTCCATTTCACGTACCCTGACAGCCTGGGAGTGTTAGTAAATCTATTCGGAATTTCAACTCGAATTATAACGGTATCTCCTGGTTACGAACGTACGCCCGGTTAAGCACTGCAGTTTTGTTCGAAATGCTTTATTTTGATATTGAGATATCAGGATAGCTAACGTTGCACGAATGGTTGATATTCAGCTTAGTCTCAAAAATCATGAGTCACTTTCATTTAGTTACAAAAAATCAGTCATAATATAAATAAATTACCCTGTTTTTAGGGGTTTTTGATGGGAATGAAACCGGTAGGAAATAATGGGAAAATTTAAATAATTACTAATTAAAACAGCAAAGTTAGTACATTTTAACATGGAAATAATAAGAAGAAGATAATCTCACGTTTTTCTAGAGAGAATTTGTTTTCACGTGCGATGTTTGTTTCTGTAAACAATTTACCAATGTTTCATCTGTCAACAACCCAGTTGTTTTATAATGGGCTCTCGAGTTGTTCTATAATACCTCTAATGAGGTATTAATGCACTAAATAACTATAAAGTGATTCTAGTCTATTATAATACCTCATGACTATTTAGATAACTATCTATTAATGAACTATCCATTGAACTGTCCTAATATATAGTTCCTGATTTATGACACCGACTGTACAAAAGAAATAATTTTATGCTTCTTATTTTGAGTTTCAACAGATAAGATTGTTGAGCAAAGAATAAATTCTCACGATGTGCTCCATTAACTTCTATTTTGAATGGAGCGGTAGGAATCAGGTCACATAGCATGCCTTAAAAAATGTAACGATAGAGGGGGAAAAGCCGCTTGAAATTTGATCTCTTCATCTATTTTCTGTTAATGGAGAACATTCATTTGACAATTTTCTCTTCATTTACAACAAATTTATGCATACGCATGTATTGTCGTGATAATTATCCAGCTTGAATCAAATGAGCGCGGTCAAGGGGACCGATGTCATAAACAAACATTGTGGGCTACTCTTATTACTACTTTTAAGATAAAAATCATCATTAATGGGTGTCGACTCTATGATTTTGTGTCATTCATTCTAAATGAAAATATACTAATAACTAAAATAGTTCATCGACTTGATAGAAACTTTCAGCGACTAAAAAAAAGCGTCGCACTCGAAAAGTGAAACTGGTGTAAATTTCACAAATGATATAATTGGGATCATTTCCAGCAACTTTTAACGTAAACTTCTTTATCGCATAGTTCTGATGATGTGTAAAGTGCAATTAATGTTCATTGAGGATTTACATTGGAATATTCTCCGTGTCAAACATATTTGAGAGAATCTGAGGCTTGAAGAAGCACTGTTATAAATTGAATTCATACAGATGATCAGTATAAGCATATTCGAATGTTGCTCTAAATTTACAAAATTAGGCGGTGTTCCACTATTAATATTAGACTATTAATTACAATTGTGTCTCACACAAAAAGTTACTAATACGACTATAGGGCCATGGCAAAAAAACAAATTCTGCCGCACTCTTCACAATCATCATCTAAAGTGGGTGAATATGGGTGTTGATGAGTTTCGACTTCGCTTGAAAAAGATCAACCAAGTTCGTGTGAAGGCTGTGGCTAAGGGCGGAGTCGGCTGTTAATGGAAAGGGCGGCGCGTTTAACGGAAAAGGCGGTTCTCCCACCGACATGGAAGAGTTTTACCGCTGGAAAACTGTACATCGTTAACCAATAGGACATCAGACGAACGACCATTAGGCTGGAAGTGGCCCATATTGTACATCACAAACCTTAAGGTCAATTAGTGTTCTGTTAACGGCACTGACGGCAGCCGGGCTCTGATCTTGCGTGTCGTGGTTGCCTGGTGGTTTATTGTGAATTTTCGTAGGGTTTCGAACGATTTGAAAAAAATATCCTTTTCCAAACTCATGATTGAAATTTGTTCCTTTTTTATCGGCATCCTGCTTTGTGAGTGTGGAACAAAGGAAAATTTTTATATTTATGTGCAATGCGTGCTTATGTTTCAATAATTACCAACTGAAAGAAAATTGAAAATTAACTGAAAAAAAAACATATAAAAAAAGTATTTACATTTGATTGAATAGAATGTCTCTTCATACACAAATGTCGCAGAGCGTCCGACCGGAACCAAAAAGTACGTGGAATTGAATTCATAGAGATAGGTACTTTATGATTTAGATGTTGAGCACGTTTAGTATTAACTTAAGTCTTTCACCAGAGGCGTACCGTTCTCTGACAACCTATGTTGTCCAAGATATTAGAGAATCCCAGCTATTTCAATACACAGAATATTTTTCCATACTTCCATATTTATAAACATCAATGATGTCTAATTAGATAGAAAATATCAGCGATGTCTAATTCATGTAGACTTTCCGTAACAAAAGCTTTTAAATGTTGATGATATGATTGGAACTTTTATTTTCAGTTTGAAATGTTGGTCAAATTTATTACTAGTCAAATTTATTTCTAACAATGTTAACTAATTTCGAGTGCCAGCTATCTGTCTTCTTCGTTTTATCAATAATTGAAATTAATTCACCAAGAAAAATTATTATGGGTTCAACCTAAGAAACGTTCAATGCAATGTAAAAAATGTATCTCTAAATTAGGTGAGAAATCTCTCGGATTTGATCTTTTTCTACTGCGTCTTGCAAATCTTTCGTACCGATAATTTGGTACGAAGTATAGTAACTACCCGGTACCTTTTATTACCACACCTTGGCATTAGTTGATTCTGTATTTGGTTGATTCTGTTTGTCGTTCCTAATATGATATTAAATATGCCTATTCATTTATTTGCCGCCATACGGAAGTCATATAGGCAACGACGGCCTAAGTACTTACCATCCCGCAGTATTGATAAGACGCAAATCCAGTAAGATCGATATTAACCAGACATTTTCATTTATTTGCTGCTCTCTCGGACTTATATTAGCGAGATGATGTGCATAAATATACCAACCTAGCATTATTTGCTATCAATGTAAAGTTAGAATTCAAATCTACACACTATTACAATTATTTTCAGCCAAAATCTGCCAATTTCAAAGTCACGTGTTTATGTTTCTATGCGTAAATCGTCCAGCCCAAATCTCAATTATTTTTATGTTTATTGATCGGGGTATTTACGGTTGTTCTCTAACGATAAGTTGTTGGTATTATTCATGGTTAGCGACTCATTAATTTGCTAACAATCCTCTCAGCATTGCTCAGGAAAGCATACAGAATAGCGCTTTTGGCCTCTAGGCGTCACCAGCTAACATTTTATCTTGCATAAGCAAACACAATAGGAAGAAATTATGATCTCGTCGTCATTTTATTTATTGATACACATGTTTAAACTGTGGTTAAATTTTGGAACTTCTAAGGCAATTTTTATGAATTATTTTTCTTTAGTTATCGAATACAAACTAGTTATTATATCATTTTGGTAGACGTCAAACCTTAATAGGTTAATAACCTAGTCCAGCGTTAATACCTGTAATTTCTGCAGGATAAAGAAGACACAAAATTCAATACCAACGAAAATATTTTGAAACACACCCGTACTTTTGTTTAAATTTTTGGCAGCTGCCGCATGTGAAAATTAGACTGAGGTACTAACGTAGCGAACTTCATATTTTCAAAACTGGTACAGCATTAAATATGATTTAACTGATGCAGCACTCAATGACGTATCAACTGAATAGTTACATTCTTTTTAGTTGCAAACGGTGAATGCAACTTATTTTTGAAAAACTTAACTTTTTCAACGAGTTTGAAGTAACTTTTTAACTTTTAGTCTCTTAACTGTTAATGAATCCTCCTTTTCCTGCAAACTGAATCAAGGCTATAGCGGAAGCAAAGATCGATTACCTATAACTAATAAACGCTTGAGAGTTTCTAAACCACGAATTAAATTTATCGTAAAATGATACCAGAGTTCGCCAATCATGTATAGCGCGATTTGCAAAATAAGTTGAGATAATTAAATGCGGGTAGTAAAACCCGTAGAGCATTTGTGGAGCACGTGGCCTAACACGCAAAAATTACCAACCTGTGGCCAAACTATATGGAACATTTTTAACTACAACTGTTGCTAAAATTACAAACAAGTGACTGGAAATAATCATGTCCAATCAAGCAATCAAATCAGGGTTAGACATAATTTTTACATAATTTATTTTTTGATGCCTGTCATTGGAGCAGACAACAACTGCTAAGCTTGAATGGCTTCGCGATAAATCTAAGTAATTTCAGCAGCCATGAAACGTAAGTCATTTGCTTTTGATTTTCATGTTTTCCCGCTATTTATTTTGAATAAATAATTATATATAGTGTTGATATTTTCCAGACCGGATCAACTACGACATTCCGTGTCAAGTTTGCCAGGATAACTCGTCCGGCAAGCACTACGGCATCCATGCTTGCGATGGCTGTGCTGGCTTCTTTAAGGTGAGAGAATAATATATTAAGGTATTTAATTTAATATTAAAGGCAATATAATATAATAAGTTTAGGAATTTTTATTTAATATAATAGGTTTAAGTCTAATTTGAAGTTGAAGTCTAATATAATAGGTATATTAATTTGTTCGAAGTTATAAAATTTAGGATATTACTGATAATAATACCTAATAAAGATGGACTAAATTTGATTTTTCTTCTTCACGGGGTTTTCAAACTTATGAATAAACGAAGTTAATTCCTTATTTAAAATGAATAAAGTTAAAGAAAGCGGTTTGAATGAATTTTCAAAATGTGTAACAGTTGTGAATATATGAATACAATGTGATCATTTCAATTTGATTCAGTTGCTGGGCATTGCTTATGAGGCGCAAAATTCTTTCAGAACATAACAGATAAAATTTGAAAATAATTTAATATTTGTTTAGAATATCACGAACTTCTAACTAATAGTAATACTGCACTACTCGATATTAATCAAATCTCGGTACTATTAAGGTGCAGGAAATTTCGATCAAGATTATTTTCGAATCCAACATGTTTTTGCAAATTTAATACCAGCATTTTCGATTTCTTTTCCCTTAGCGCCCTTTATAAAAATATCTGTGAATAATATTCGCGAAAAAGTAGTGATGATGGATGATAGCACTACCATTTGTTGTATATTTAAAATAATGCTTATTTTATACCTTGGATGAAAGCAGTACCATCTCTTTGAATGTCAGATCGCGAAAACAAGGTTTATCATTCACTAACAATTTCTCAAGCTATTGTATCACATAATGACTTTCTTTAATTTTATTGAAAATGTAAATGTTTGTGCGTGAAAATTTTTAATCAGGTTAATAAAGAATTTTAGGATTTTCCAAGCTGGAAGGATTGCAATCTCAAATTTGTCAATTAATTTTTCATGAATCGTTCGATATTTGGAACAAAAAAAAACTATCAAATTTTTCTGTCAATGAAGTTATTCTTCATCTTAATTGAACTAAGAAGGGCTGAGGCACAATTATAATCTTGCAGCGATGCAACAAATAGGGACACCTCGAGTGAGTGAACATACACTGAACGATCTAATTAAATATTTTCATGAGTTTTTCATGTTTCATCCCATCTTGCATATTAAGTTCCTGTAAAATATTCTAACAAACTTACACCTATTGCTCTCTATTCGTGGTATTCCAATATTTATTTGTTATTGTAAACATTTGTTTTGTTTTAACAGCGAGCCATTCGGCACAAGCGGGAGTATCACTGTTATATTTTAACAAACTTGCATCTATTGCTCTCTATTTTTAGTATTCCAATGTGTATTTGTTATTGTATGTATTTATTTTGTTTTAACAGCGAGCAATTCAGCACAAGCGGGAGTATCACTGTTATATTTTAACAAACTTGTATCTATTGCTCTCTATTCTTAGTATTTCAATGTGTATTTGTTTTTGTATTAATGCATTTGCTTTGTTTTAATAGCGAGCAATTCGACACAAGCGGGAGTATCAGTGTTATATTCTAACAAACTCGCTTCTATTGTTCTTTATTCAAGGTATTCCAATGTGTATTTGTTATTGTATGTATTTATTTTGTTTTAATAGCGAGCAATTTGGCACAAGCGGGAGTATCACTGTTATATTTTAACAAACTTGCATCTATTGCTCTCTATTCTTAGTATTCCAATGTATTTGTTATTGTATTTATGTATTTGTTTTGTTTTTAACAGCGAGCAATTCGACACAAGCGGGAGTATCAGTGCTGCGTGACACCGCAACACGGCTTGAGCAACGGCATGCCGCGCGCCTGCGTCGTTGACAAAAGTACTCGCAACAAATGCAGAGCGTGCAGGCTTACTAAGTGCCTTGCTGTCGGCATGAATAGAGAAGGTCAGACATGTGCGTTACCAGCTTCTTAGTATGTTAAGAATTAGGGGGGTTTTATTAATTAAATTATTCATTAACATCCCTGAATGAAATTGTTTTTAACAATGCAATAATAAATTTATTTTCTTTTACACTTTTTTATTACAATCATAGCGTATTTTGAAAATCAATATTTCAAAATAAAAATTATTTCAGCTTCTTAGTATATTAAGAATTAAGGGGGATATTATGAATTAAATTATTCATTAACATCCCCGAATGAAATTTTTTGAACAATACAATAATGAATTCATTTTCGCTAATAAATTTTTTATTACAATCAAAGATTTTTTGAAAATCATTATTTCGTTGATTACAGAGGTTGAATGAACTACTAAAACTACTTTTTAAGATGAGCCAATATGCAATTCAAACAAATAGTTTATTTATGAATAACAATAAAGTTCCTTGGTAATAATGGTGTTACTGAACTGTAAACACGCTTTCCTTTACATTACTGTGCAAAAATTTCTAATATCGTGAGTCAAATCACCCTTAGGCTCGTATCATTCATCATGCATGCTCGCCGTCATTCATCGTGCTTAACTATTCATCAGGTTTTTTTCTCATTTAATAATTACTATTTAATATTAAACGTCGATTAATTTTGAATTAGCTCACATTTAGGAATTGCTAGTCTCATTTTTATGGTTATTCTGTTCAAAATATTATTGGAACTACAATATTCACTAAATTTTAATTCGCTTAATTTTACTTGGGCTTCAAAGTTTTTGCATGTCATCAAAAATTCCAATAGCTCTGCCTCATTTACAGATAGGAATCCTAAAACAAGCTTTTTTACTCTTTGAAAACTACTTAGTTTAACGATGTAATGTTCTTACATGAAATGAAACAAAATTGCCATTTTATTTCAATGAAAAGGGCTGTTTAATTTCAATTCAGCTGTTATCTATTGGCTAATTCGCTATTGAGCTGATGGCAAATGAGTTATTTTGATAAAAATTCATCAGAAACACGCATGACAAAATCCTGGATGCCTCATTAAAATACTATTAAAAATCGATTAATCTGGTTTGGCGAGCTTTGTGTTATGTCTCTCCTGATAACTGATCAATAAATCCAACCTATGCATCGGGGTACTGCCTTATTCTTGAGCGGGAGTAGGGAGTGAGTCGAAAGAAATGAACCTTTCCCACAGGCACTTGAATCTAAAGCTTCAGTTCGGATGATCCCGACGCTCTTGAGCATCGATTTTGATCGTTGAAACGCCAACACTTCTACGTCAGTCGTCAATGGGCTGAAATCATTAAAATCGATACACAGAGAGACAGTTATTCGGCTTGTGTTCGAGTGCCCGAAAGTTCAGCGCTGTAAAGACTTCTAAAAATATGAATTCGATCAATATGATCTTGAGTCAACACGCCATAAGCACTCGAGACGGCCAGAGTGGACAGCCATAGAGGGTGCGGAGAGCTGCCGTCTAGTCCCGAGATCGCGTGGAATTCTAGGACGAGGTTTACTGGCACAGAACTGGGGGAACCACGAACTTATTTCCTAGGACGAAATAAACAGAGGCAATTAACAGGCGTTGAGATTCAATAAATGTATAATAGGCTCTGCAAATTTTCATATTGAACATAATTTTGTGCGCGTGTATTGAACACGTCCACAATAACTGTGAAAAAGTGTTAAAAAATTATCAAGGGATTTTTTTAATTATGACTTTCTAATGAGACAATTTTCAGAGTCATGTCATTTACAAAAAAGTTATCAATTAATAAAAACATGACTGTTAATTAATGATAACTGTTAAGTTACAATACAACTTGGACTATAAATTTTAGAAGCGGTTCAATAATCATAGAAGTTTTAAAACGAATAACGGAGTACGTGAAACACAATCATTCTTTAAATACGTTATTATCAGTTGTTAGCCGTACAGTGCAGCAAAGTTTTAACGTAAAGGACGATTAATATGTGCATTATTTGTAAATATTCATATCCACTTAATAATCAAAATTTTCGTGTATTGCAACTCTGTAACCAACTTTGTAACGTTGTTGAACCAACTCCAACTGAGATATATATGATCTAAAAAGGAAGCCCTATATCTTCTGCCTCTACTACCGCCTGCACTTCAGTGTTCCTGAGCGACAAGGCAACATTTGTACAAGCCTTTGGTATAGAAATAAAAGTGAGGCAGCATCAGCAATTACATTAGATCTGCTAAAGAAAACATTCCGGCTAATTGACATTTTGGTTGCGACAAGTTTTGTACAGCGCCGTCGAGGCGTGAGCGCGGATGTGAGGAGAATTTTCAGAAGTTTGGCCGCCGGGACGATCGTGGCTGACTAATCTGGCGTACAAATCAGACTAGATGTTTTCAGACGCTTTTTAGGAGACTTTTTCATTGTGTTGAGCTCAAAAGAGGCATTTTTTAGCTCGTGAGAGTGAAAGAAAAGCTGTCGAAAGGTGCCTTTTAGGAGGCTTAACGCTCCTACTCGGACCGACCTGCATGGAAGTGCGTAGCAAAATATGGACTAAAATTTTGAAGTTGAAGACTTCCACTGTTGCTGCTACTCGCGCTTGATTGTTTGGAAAATGTTTGTGAAAACATTCATTCGTACATCGAAAACTCAAATAACCCATCACTAGTCTAAATAAAAGAACCAAAGCTATTAAGAAGTTTTGGAAAATACTAGATCACAGAAAGAAATACCAAAAAATTCCATCTGTACATTCACGATAAATAATTTGGCTTAAACGTGGCATCTAATCAGTCTTACTTAAATGCCCTCAATTCACACCAGAATCATACTCTCTCTCACTTTACTCATGAAAAAGATGCGTTCCTCTCTGCTCTCTGTCTATAATTTCTATTATTCAATGTGGTTTATTGCAGGAAAGCTTTGTTTAGAAATTTTGACATGGGTTTCAGAAATAATTTTTAACAGTGACAGACAGCAATGTACGTTTAATGTCCCTAGCGGTGTTTTCATATGCTAACATTTTAATGTGGCTTCGTTTTATTCATTCTTTCCAAATAAAGGGCAAAAGTTATTATTGTCCCGAAACTTACTGGTTTTCACATGAGTATAATATTTAATAAGTAATAAATAATCTACGTGTTGCATAATAGACGTAATATACGTATTGACCTATAAATGACTAATCTGAACACTGTGTGACACTGACTAATCTTACGACACATAAACTGTGTCGTAGTATAATTGCTTAATGCATCATAGTTCACGTTGATTTATTTTAGCATTTTGTAAACGACTTTTCAATCAATGGCAAAGCTCCCAAGTCAGCCTTTTTTTTGTATTTTCAAGTTCGTACAGTTAAGTCTAAGATTGAGATCTGGTATAGAGTATCAGAGCCAGCGAAAGGCAACTACATATAACATAAAATAATATAACATATAATATAATTCCTGGCAAGCTTAATCGATAAGGTTGAGTACTTTTTCATTTAACTGATGCATATAAGATTTTGTAATGGAAATCGAACAGTTCAGCGCATGTCAGTTCTCTCATGATTTATTCTTAATGACGAAGAATTAATGACCATACAGCACAAACCTTTTCTTTCTCTTCAGCCATCAAACCACATAAGAAACTTCAACTTCAGCAATCAAAGGACCCATTAATCTTTTTCAGGAAAATCGGACCTTTGAATACTTTTATTTTATTTTATGCAGAAAAAATTGGCTAAATGTTTCAGATCTGCCAATAATTACATGCCCCCTGGCGGCAGGCACACAAAGCATTCAGCGCCCTTTGCAGCGGCGGCAGAGTTTTGCTCTTTTGAACGCTGCGGTGCGTGAACAGAATCCTGCTGATCCTTCTCACTACCCTGCAATTAGTGAGGCTTTGTTTAGGTCTCTTTTCCATGCCAAGGTGGCAATGGAAGTACGTACATTGAACAATGCTATGCTGACGCGATGTGATCTATTTTTGAGCACCGAATGCACATAGTCAGTCCCCTCAAGAGCTGCACTCGCGTGAATATGTCAGTCATGCAGCCTCGACTGCTGACGTGAAAGGTTCCTTTTAACGTTATAAAACAGGAAGTTAAATGAATGAAGAGAAAACGGATGCTCAAAATATGAATGGTTGGCGTGAGGTTTAGAGCACAACTAACCGGCTTCTAAGATTTCTGCTTTGAAATTTTGTTAATTGGACACAAGGTGACATTAACTAATATTACTGGTATAAAAGCCTTTGAGACATATATTCGACATTTATTTCTCACATCAAACTTTCAAACACGAGTAACCTAAAAATTTTTTCTCCAATTATTTTTTTAGTTTAGTCCAATAATTTTTAAAGTTTTAATAAGCGATTGAGAAATGCAACAATATCACAAAGCTGAATAAGAATTTGTAAATAAGTATTTATTAAGGTAAATGTATTGTCATTTTTTACCACTTCTCGCCAACTTGGCGCAGCCAAAGTTCCGTAAACGTACATTAGTCGACTGCAAATTCCCTGCCTGTCTCGCATATACACTACGTTTCCAGCTTCATAACAAAATCTCCTCTTGCTGTATTATTTATCGGACCGTATCTGGGACACACGATTTGTGCACTCCAATGATGTCATAATGGTATTTCTAATCCTATTAAGTGTACATATATATTTATTTCCAATCTTTCTTTCAAAATTAATTGGAAGTTCAGACTTGTTCCTAGTAAATATATCTCATACAGAACTCATTTGAACAAAAGTATGGCGTTAGGGTATATAAAAACGTAATTGCCACTTGTCTTTGCGTGCCCTCAAAGGAGGTTTGCTAAGAGCGTAATTGCCACTTTGCTAGGTTTTGCGCATGCAAAACCTGTTTTCGGTCACTTTACTTCTTAGTGTGTTTGTGTCCGGAAGTTGATTCCGCATGACAAAAAAAAACGGTAGAGAAATTTTTCGGCTGAAAACTTTGCTTACCTTGCACTTCTAAACCATGAAGTCAAAACGATTAACAGTTTTGAACCTCAATTTTAAGATGTCTAATAGTTTTTCCCGAACAGAGTCCTTTAAATTTTTTTCGGAGGTTGATGATAGCTCCACACACCCTGTTTCCAAAAACATTCCCCCTAAAGGAGCCGAGGACTCCAGCTATGGCACAGCGACGTCAAGCTGCAGAGTCAAATTCAGACGCAGGATTTTCTTTCATAGCCGCACAAAAGGCGAGCGCGTCATTGTGAGATCTGCGTGTTTAGGTAGTGCATCCCTCCGTGGTGATTATCTCTCTGCGTGGCTGTAGCTGCGAAAAACTTTGTTCGACGCTATACCTCATAATAATTCCAAACCCAACATAACCTTACGAATTTCATTGCAGTCATCTGGCGATGATGAAAAATTATTGTAGAATTCTTCTTCAATTTTCGCTTATACCATTGATGAGGCGATGCGAAGAGATTTAAACTGAATGTTTACAAACAGTTATGATCACTAAATCACTGTTTTTGCAACTCGTTCAAAATTTTTTTTGGTCCGTTAGCTCCGTTGATAATGTGTGGCACATTTTTGTAATCTCAGAGAAACAAAAATAATCCAACTAAAGTAGAGGTTCTTCTCCTTACAGCCGTCCAACATGAGCGAGGACCAAGACCTTCCACCAGAAAGAAACACCAAGAACTTTATTTACGGACACAATCACCGGATTCTACTCCTAACTCTAGAGCGGACTCTAGATCCCCACCTTCAATTCCTTCATCCAGAACCCCTCAAGTCTCCTCAACCACCAACCACATATCCCCTCCCTCATCCTCGTTCAGAGTACCACCTCAAATTCCTTTTATTCCGGGTTTCAATTCTCAGTTCCCTCCAATTCCAGGTTTGGGTTCTCAACTCTCTCATTCTTTACCTTTTCCTTTCCTTCAAGCTCCTCTCTGGCCATTTGCTCACACACCGTCACAGTACACTCCTTCCTCCCTCTCACCTTATCCTTCATATCTCCCGCAATGGCCGGTTTTAGGCCGAGCTTTATTTCAAGAAGATTTCTTGAAACATTTTCGAAGTGCCAACGAGTCTTCAAAACCTACAACGTCGGCCCCGTCTGTGAACAACGATTCTGGTGTCACTTCTGCGCTCGCAGACGCTGCTGACATCCTGGCGGCCAAACGTCTGCACGTCCCAACCGCGCGAGTGAGTCCAAATGTTTTCTCGTAAAATAGTTTTCAGAACACTTTATGTAAAATTTAATACGCGGAAATAATTTTTTCGTGTAAGAACTTTGGCAGCGCCAGTTGAGGAACAATTTAGCAGGTAATACGTCCCAGTTACGTGATCGAATCAAGGTAGAATATTAATATTCATGCCCAATAAATTGAAACGGATAAAAGTACTTCCCTTATAAGCACTTCCCGGCGATACTTTTCAAAAGAGCAATAATATATACGCATGAAAATCAATACAATTATACTTAATAGTTCATTACACTTAGAAAAACTCGAACCATTATTGTAATTTCACTATTACAAATTAAAAGCTTTCTTTTATCCCAAAGACATTCAAATTTATTTCGACTTATTTTATCAGTGACATGCTATGCCCATTCACTTCGCACATGCTCAGACCGCATTGAAAATGTAATTCCCTATGCCATCCAGAACTCGCTCTTTCTTCCGCCTGTACCCGTCAACTTCCTTTCATACTCTCACATTACGTTCTCTCTTCCGCCAGTACCCGTCAACTCTCTTTCATATTCTCACATTATTCTATTTCTTCCGCCAGTACCCGTCAACTCCTTATGACGTTATGATGAGTTTAGGACTTCGCAGTCCAAGGTCAAAGGTCACGCGGATGCGCCGCCTTCGACGGCGCAAATAAACTCTCTATCATATTCTTACATTACGCTCTTTCTTCCACCAGTACCCGTCAACTCTCTATCATATTCTCACATTACGCTCTTTCTTCCTTCAGTACCCGTCAACTCTCTATCATATTCTCGCATCACGCTCTTTCTTCCACCAGTACCTGTCAACTCTTTATCATATTCTCACATCACTCCTTTTTTCTTCCACCAGTACCCGTCAACTCTCTATCATATTCTCTTCTTCCGCCAGTACCCGTAAACTCTCTATCATATTTTAATTTTACGCTTTTTCTTCCGCCAGTACCCGTCAACTCTCTATCATATTTTAATTTTACGCTCTTTCTTCCGCCAGTACCCGTAAACTCTCTATCATATTTTAATTTTACGCTTTTTCTTCCGCCAGTACCCGTCAACTCTCTATCATATTTTAATTTTACGCTCTTTCTTCCGCCAGTACCCGTAAACTCTTATCATATTCTCACATTACGTTCATTCTTCCACCAGTACCCATCAACTCGCTATCATATTCTCACATTACGCTCTTTCTTCCACCAGTACCCGTCAACTCGCTATCATATTCTCATATTACGCTCTTTCTTCCACCAGTACCCGTGAACTCTCTATCATATTCTCACATTACGCTCTTTCTTCCACCAGTACCCGTCAACTCCCTATCATATTCTCACATTACGTTCCTTCTTCCACCAGTACCCGTCAACTTTCTATCATATTCTCACATTACGCTCTTTCTTCCACCAGTACCCGTGAACTCTATCATATTCTCACATTACGCTTTTTCTTCCACCAGCACCCGTCAACTCTCTATCTTATTCTCACATTGCGCTCTTTCTTCCACCAGTACCCGTCAATTCTCTATCATATTCTCACATCACTCTTTTTTCCACCAGTACCCGTCAACTCTCATCATACTCTCACATTACGCTCTTTCTCCCACCAGTACCCGTCAACTCTCATCATACTCTCACATTACGCCCTTTCTCCCACCAGTACCCGTCAACTCTCATCATCCTCTCACATTACGCTCTTTCTCCCACCAGTACCCGTCAACTCTCTATCATATTATCACATCACTCTTTCTCCCACGAGTACCCGTCAACTCTCTATCATATTCTCACATCACTCTTTTTTCCACCAGTACCCGTCAACTCTCTATCATATTCTCACATCACACTCTTTTTCTTCCACCAGTACCCGTCAACTCTCCATCATATTCTCACATCACTATTTTTTCTTCCACCAGTACCTGTCAACTCTCCATCATATTCTCACATCACTCTTTTTTTCCTCCACCAGTACCCGTCAACTCTCTATCATATTCTCACATCACTCTTTTTTTTCCTCCACCAGTACCCGTCAACTCTCCATCATATTCTCACATCACTCTTTTTTTCTTCCACCAGTACCCGTCAATCCTCCACCTCACACCTACCCGGGTACCACCGCTCAGCACCACTGAGATCCTCCTGAGAAACGTTCAGCTCGCGGCTTCCCTGCCAGAGTTTCAGCTGCTCTCAGCGGACGACAGAGTGAGACTAGACCTCACTGCGTTGTGAATTGACGCTTGTTTTTCGTTTTGTTTCGAAAATTCATCGTATCGATATTTTAACTTGTTAGTAGATAATTTTTAGTTTTAATGTACGTTAGATTAAAAAAAAAATTTCATTTGTGAGTTTAACGTATTTTTTAGGGTAAGCATTTTAAACTGTAGCTAAACTCTTATTGTTTGTATATTCCATTAAGAAAAATTAATATTCTCATCGTAATAAGCAACATTGATGTTATTAGTTTTAAGATTCATGTACCAGAAACGGTCAGAATGGTGCAACCTAACCTTAAATTGCGAATTATTATGTAGTAATTAAAAACGCGATAAGTCGGGAAGCTTCTTCACAACCGAGCTTACAATCATAATGCTATTATTGAAATTTACCATTGTTTAGTACTTAGAATAGTCATATTTCAATCAAATTAGGTAAGTGAATATACCAATATAAATTTTCTATATCATGTTAAATTTTCTATTCTTGAGTGAATAAATTTACGCTTATTTGTATTTCCTTAACTAGCTCTCCCACCTGCACATTTCACTCTCCTGAGAATTGGTCTAAATATCAAAAAGATTAATCAACAACTCAGCCTTTCTTAGCTCAGTTTATACGCAAATGGGAGTGTTTGAAATAGATAATTCGTGAAAAATTGATAATAAAAGCTCTTGTAACGAGTAGTAATTTGAAGAGTACTTTGAACTGCTTTTGTGCTTGTTTCACTCTTTACATGATCGAATGTGCAAACATTATTAAGGATGATATGTTTCCCCCGCTGCATGACTACTTATGTACTTGTTAAAATCTGTACATGATCGAATGTGCAAACCTTATCAAGGATGATATATTACCCCGCTGCATTAACATACAGCATGAATGCATGAACATACAGCATGAATTAGAAACGTATTGGTCATATTGAGTACAGAGCCTCGTTTGCTGTCACAGACGACGCTGTTGGTCAGCACCTGGCACCGGCTGTTCCTGGTGTCGTGTCAGCAATTCGGCTTACAAGCTTCGGATGACGCGACCCGCGGTGACATGACCGACCCTATGAGCCTGTCAGATGTCGCATTCGTGCACTACTGCTTGGATTTTATTAAACAGATGCTCATGGAACCAGAGGAATACAATTTACTAAAAGCCATCGCCTTGTTTCTCATTAGTGAGTATTTTGTAATTAATTAAGAATTTAACACAAATCTTGATTGTCATGGAGCCCAGAGGAATACAATTTACTAAAAGCCATCGCCCTGTTTCTCATTAGTGAGTATTTTGCAATTAATTAAGAATTTAACTCAAATCGTGATTGTCATGGAGCGTTCCGACTATAAAAAAAAAGGTTTTCACGATTTTATTTAAATTGAGTGCTTAATCTTTATATTTAGTTTTTATAAAGGACAAAACGGTACGCCAATCGCTTTATTTAATTTAAGGGTCTACAATTCGACCGACAAAACCATATCATATTTCAAAAGTTATATAGTCTCGAAATGTACTACGCATATTTTGCTTGCTAACAAGCGCGAAGCAAACTTAGGTATATTGTTTTTTATACTCTAGCACTCGATCATGAACTTGGGTGGATATTCACGTTGGATATAAGACCGTCTATATAGTTTTTTTTATTTATCTATGAACTGCAGAGGTAGACACTCGATAGTTGCCACTGGCCCGTTAAATTAGTCGTACGTCTTAAAAGTAATCCATCAGACAAGCACATTAATAATTATGGATTTCTTTGTTCAACTGTGCTGATCATGAAGCGGTCAAAAATATAATACTAATCCACGAGTTAGAGACGATAGATTTTTTTAGCAAATGATGAAAGCGGCCAGAAATGAACTGCCCGCTTCGAAAAATCAATAAACAATTTGTCACAATCAAACATAAATCACAAATCAGACAATCACAGAGCATGAAAAAATCGCAGTGCTTAAGCAAATTTTTTTCCAACGTTTTTTTTTTTATTTGTTCCAATAATTTGAGTCTGTCGATGAACGCGTAGACAATAATTATATCCAAGCAGTAAATTTTTATCCTACTAATAACGAAATCGCAGTGCTTAGGCAAATTTTTCTAACCATTTTTTGATTTTTTCCAATAATTTGAGTCTGTCGATAAACGTGTGGACAATAATTATATCCAAGCAGAATTTTTTTTGTCCTACTAATAACGAAAATTTATTTATGAATGTTCCAGGTGACGAGCCAGTCAGAAACGCCGAGCTTATCCATTCTGGCCTCTGCAGCTTAATCACCCGCCCGCTCAACGTCAAAGCCAACCTGGCGACCTCCACTAGAAAGTAAATTTCTTTGAACTTACCATATGCTGAATAACTACTTTATTTATTTTAGTTTTTATAGTTTATTCTCATAGTTGTATGAACTTTCTATTTGCTCAATAACTACTTTATTTAGTTTAGTTTTTAAAGTTTATTCACAGACGTAGTTGTATGAACTTTCCATATGCTCAATAACTATTTAGTTTATTTAGTTTATTTTTTATAGTTTATTCTCATAGTTGCATGAACTTTCTATATGCTCAACAATTAGTTAATTAATTCACATACTTGTAAATAGCCTGATAAAATCTGTCAAATACTTCTTCCGTCTCCTACCTACATGATAAACTAGATTTTTACTTATATCAACTTTCGTAATGATTATCTGGCTGGCCTACGATTAATAGCTTTCAATGAGAATGTTTTTATCAATGCGAGTAGAGACAAATTTTGGCATTAAAAGTAGAGACAAACTTTGATTCTACGAGTAAGGAACAAACGTTGACACTACAAGTAGAGACAAACGTCGGTATTACGAGTAAGAGACAAATTTTGAAGCTAGAGTGGAGAAAAATTTCGGCGCTACTAGTAAAGACAAACGATAGCACTGCAAGTGAGAGACAGTAGGAGGAAAATTTGGGCATTGTGACTAGAAACGTACATCGATACGACGAGTAAGATATAAACCTTGGCACAACGGGTACAGTCAAACGGCACAACGAGTAGAGACAAACGTTGTAACCATTTATAAAAACAAACGTTGTAACCACTTATAGAAACAAACGTTGACACTAGTCGCAGTAACAAACTTTGGCACTACAAGTAAGTGAAAAAAGTTTGCACCGCAGGTAGAGAGGGAAGTTAGCACTACGTCTAGAGTCGACGATGTCACAAGAACCGTGGTAGGCCCTACAAGTAGCGACAAATAGCGCACGTCAATTTACTGATCAGTGATATGATTTTGTAGAGTTATTCTCTTCATTAAGTACTGGCAAACATTTCACAATTAGCTTAACAAAATAAAACATAAATATTAATAGATTATCAAAACTGTAAGAGATAACACGGCTCTTACCTTGCTGCTTCTGTTTTACTCATCCACAAGATTGACTGATTGATAACTTCGTTCACAGTCATAATTTTTTTTTCAGGCACGAATTGTACCTCGCGCTTAGAACACTGCAGAAAATAAGCGCCCGCACCGTGGAACAAATGTTCTTCAAAGACCTCCCGCCTAAACTCACCGTCAAGGAGATGATCATCGGAATGTTAAATGAAACCTACACTTCATTGCCGAAAATCTCACCTCCAAGCCCGTGAATTAATTTTTTTATTCAAGATAATGTATACTTCCGAATCGTAGCGATGTACATATTTTCAAAAAAGCTGCTTGTGAAAAGCACTTGGCACTGCGAAGGCATCCGTGACAGAGCCTGTAACGTAACAAATTGATCCCCTCCAGTCTAATTGAAAGTAAAACATATTCGCAGCCTCAGATTCATCGAATACCATTTCCGGTGAAATTAATCGAAAACCATTTCCGGTGAAATTCGTCGAATACCATTTCCGTTTAAATTCATCGAATACCATTTCCAGTGAAATTCATCGAATGCTATTTCCGGTGAAATTCATCGAATACCATTTCCGGTGAAATTCATCAAATACCATTTCCGGTGAAATTCATCGAATACCATTTCCGGTAAAATTCATCGAATACCATTTCCGGTGAAATTCATCGAATACCATTTCCGGAGAAATTCATCGAAAACCATTTCCGGTGAAATTCATCGAATACCATTTCCTGTGAAATTCATCGAGTACCATTTCCGGAGAAATTCATCGTTTACCATGTCCGGTGAAATTCATCGAATACCATTTCCGGTGAAATTAATTGAATACCATTTCCGGTGAAATTCATCAAATACCATTTCCAGTGAAATTCATCGAATGCTATTTCCGGTGAAATTCATCGAATACCGTTTCCGGTGAAATTCATCGAATACCATTTCCAGTGAAATTCATCGAATACCATTTCCGGTGAAATTCATCGAAAACAATTTCCGGTGAAAAAATTGGTCAATGAATTCTGTTACTTGACCTTAGGAATAGATAATTTTTGCCTTCCGGAATTCAATCTTTCTACTTTATATGGATGTTTTTATCAATGAAACACATAAGCTGACGGCGATGCTTTATTATGTTCCGTTGTTATAAAAATTATTTAACTATAAAAAATTATTCAAGAAAGACGTAAACCAGCTATTTAAATGAATAATTTTACTATGAAACAAACAATCATAATTAAACTTGAACCTATTCTTTGAATAAATGAAGGAGAGTAGAGGTATATAATTGTAAATATCTTAATTCAGAAAACGAATTGGAATTTAATTGAACATAGGACAATATTAAACGATTTGTTATAACAGTGTAAAATAATACGAAAGTTTAAATTGAAAGAAGATTCAAATTTTTGAATAAATTCTTGACATCAAGCAATTCTGAAGCAAAAATTTTTACTTGATAGAAATTTTACGGTAAAACTAAGAGCCGAAGAAGGCGATGATAACTTTTTAGCCTAAAAACCTTCTCATTATTAGCATATTTTTCCAAATTTAATAATAATTATTCCAAGTTTCGAAGACAACTTATAAAACTCTTTGCTTTAAACACTACCTTCAACTCGGTGGCGTATCGAGGTTCGCACGAAGCACACTCCAGCAACGTAAAGTGACCAAAACACAATGTTTCTCATTAACCACTCATTTCAGGAATATTTACACGGGAAGTTTTCTCGATTGGAGTTGGAAGTATGTTTAAAAATATGTGAGCTCGTTCCGTTTCAAATCGTCTCATTAATTATACAGACTAATAAAGAAAAATTGGACTCATACTCGGGAAAAGACTAAAATCTATAAAATTAAACGAACCATGTAGACCACATGATAATGGTCAGCCGCTTGTCGCGTGACAGTAGTTGAGGTCGTATCAATTGAAAAACAATTGAAATAAATTTATGTGGAGTATGTAGAAAAGTAATCGCCGTCTCCTAAGATCGCTCCGTGCACTGCATTACGTTTGAATGACGTTTTGGTGCTCAGAAACTACAGTGATAATGGCTTTGATGAGAATTTTTAGAAAACTGATTTATGAACTGAAACTTATCATCATTTATCAATGAACGTGTATGTTTACAAGTCTACCGTTTACAAGACGGCAATATTAGTCCTACATTTATGTCATACGGAAGCAACTATGTATATATGATTCTAGTCTGGAGTAATTAGTATTGACTCAGGTCTTTATATAATGCGACGACTAATGAGCAGCTGTTCGAGAAATGAGTCATCGAACAACAATATGCAAAACACTTTCCTCAATTTGGTTTAGGTCATTAATTATTAATGAAGATTAACATGGTTGCATACAAAAAAGTACATGGTGCTTTGGTCTAAGCTGCAGAAGCTTTGACGTATGACAGCGTTGATAGCTTATCGTAAGCTTACCTACATGTCACGTCACGCTGCGACCACTGACATATCAATTTCGTGTGAGAAAGGTCAGCTTGAAAGGTTTTCGTTTGTTTCCAGGATTAAATTAAATAATGAGTCATAACCGATTTTATGCAAAAAAAAATGAAACAAGTTAGGTTTGCCTTTCCCAAAATGAAACAGTTTATGGTCTTTTAAATTCAGGTTCCCAGATGGAACAGTTTCTGGCCTCTTAAATTTTTTTACACGCAAATTCTAAAAATAAATCATCCAATTAGCAAGGATGAATTCGAAACAAAAACACAATGGGCTAAGACAAAATCGAGCCCTGCATGTTATGAAAGCAAACTCTGCTGATTTTCTTTCTATAACCGCGACTAATGCAAAGAGAGGGGAAAAGAGGGTTACAACGTAAAATCTCCGTCGTTCACAGTGAACTTGATTTCAACGCTGGATTGCCATGATAAAGAGCGAAACCTTTTCGTTTATTGAAGTCAAACAATCTGGAATGTCTCAAAATTTGTATTGACGTATTTTCGAAGTTATCATATCAATAATTTTCACACGTTTTATTAAATCTCTTCTCGGTCCAGAAATTCATTAAAATTCGTTCATGACAGTCGCACCTGGAGGCTTTGTTACAAGATTTCTCATGAGAAGACGATGAGTTAAGTGGACATAATTGAGAATGAGACAAAACATGTAAGCAGGTGCAACGAAAAAAATTGTTAGCTCATGGTCAAGAATGCATTTAGAATAGTGGAATAATGGCTACTCCTTCTGTACCGTTATCCTAAAAAACTGCTTAGCAGTTCAACACAATTAATCGTAAAGTATAAGATGTGTTTGATGCCACTATATCAGACTTGCGACTGATGTAACTATAGCTTCATCTACCGTAGGGCAACGTGCCCCAGATCTAGGAAGTTTATAATTTGTGTAAAGTTCCCTAAATTGTTTTGCATTTCGATGGCATTTATTAGCGGACAACGCTATTCTTTATTTTGTGTAAATCAAAACTTAAACTCGCAAATCCTCACTTTATATCTGAACTCACTTAAAAAAATTCACATGCAAGTGTATTCACATGGACGTATATCTGCCTAAAGTTTTGATTTCTATAAACTATATATAACACATATTTCTAGCTTTTTCCTCGCTAAATGATACAACTCAGTGTATATTACTCAACGAATAATACCCTCGCTCGGTGTATTACTCAGCGAGGGGTACCCTCGCTCGGTGTGTTACTCGGTGTATTACTAAAGTATTACAGAACCTCTTAAAACTATCAAACAAAGAGACTTCCTGGCGCTAAGTGCTCTCGCCTTCACGTTTTCGAGACGCCAAGACGAAGCGAGGCGATTCTTCCGATCTTCTTAGCTGTAACCGACGAGCATGAAAGTTGCTGCGTGATTCTAGACATACTATGTGGCTAAATATCAAGCTATTTAAGATTGCCTATACTTTCAAAAAAAGTTAAGAGATTGTAAGCTCATCAGCCATTCATTGACGGCCTTTCAAGCAAAATCCACCAATTATTATAGACAAGAAAATAGAGCGTAAGTACTTACGTTCACTTAGCGAGTTTTGAAAGTATGGCCCCAGGTTCTCTGCATAATGCTATCGTATTATTAGACGCTCCGTCCGATATTCTATAAATATTTATCAAAGTTTGTTTGTTTGTTTGTTAGCTGCATGGTGTCATTACTTTATTTTTGAAACCTATAGCGCCGTAACTGTGTCACGATACTAATCGTATTGCGGATATACCCTGGGTCTGAAAATTCATTCTTATTGGCTAAATTTTAAAGCATTTCAAGACCGAGAGGGGGAAGGGTAAATATAAAATAGAGACATATAATTAAATTTCCTTCGTTAAATGTTATTCAATAATAAAAAATCTTTATTTTTTCCCCGTTTTACCAAAAAACAGCATTTTTCATAACAAAATAGGTTGGCTGGAATATGGCATTAGGAACGGGTTTCAAATGTTGGTTGAGATGAAGTTGTTTAGTTTCGAAACACTTTGTTCTCTCACATAGGAGTACACATCATGTAGTAAATAAACAACATGATTGAAGAAATGACAAAAAAGCTTCCTAATGAATGTCCTTATATAAGCTTCGAGGGTGATAAAGTCGGTATACGACTTTATTAAATCATAATGAGATAATGATAAGAAAATAGAATCTTGCCAAATACATCCTATTATTCTAGCCTCCTGATAACCGCATGTCAAAACTGAAAACCGCATGTCACTAAAAATAATTATTAATTATGTCATATTAATTTTGCAAACTGGATTCGACAACATGTAACAGCTTTAAACATACATAATAACCAATTTACAATTAATACTGAGTGAGATTAAAGTCACGATAATATTATTCATAAAAAGATTTTAGAACGACAATTTTTAAATCGTCGAGCATTTTATCAAAAATATTTTACACGAATGTAAACAGTAGCACGTTTTCCTAAACGAACCGGCGATAAATTCAAGCGTACGCCTCTTGTATTAATTGAATGGCGAGGAAAAAGAGGGATGGAAACTGATTCAAAAACACATTTATTATCGTAGGGAGCTAAATTAATGAATTTTGAATGCATTTATAGATATCGTGAATTTATAGATATCGTGAATTTTTAGCCAATTTTATCATTTATGGAAAAAAGGCGCTATGTGCTCGCCATGTCCGTCCGTCTGTCCGTCTGTCTGTCTGTCTGTCTGTCCGTCCGTGACTTCACGTTTTCGTCGACGAGAAAATACGCTCTCTGTCACTCACTGCAGTGAGTACTGAGTTATATTTTTTAGATTTTTGATTGCTTATATAGCCGTATAAATTATTGAACGGTTGAGGATGACGATATTCAGAATGGCGGGATGTGGGATAACGAAATTTTTAAATTGGAGAGATTGTCTATTCCGGTTAATACCGCATCAATCCTGTGACACCTGTCAACCTTATTAGATATTGAAATTATATCACGATTGTTGCAGACAATCTCAGGCAAAA